TCCACAACATCATACAACATCATCCTCAACATAGTAGTCAACCTCAGCATCATCATCAACATCATCATCGTCATCACCATCATCATCATCATCATGTGCAGTGTACGTAGTAGTACTCCCAATTAGTTGGACAAAAGTTCGCTTAACAGCATTTTCTAAAAAATGTGTCAAAACCTGCGTTTTGTACCCTCGAACCAGATAAAACTACCAGGCGTCAGGAGGCGCGCAACCGTAGTAGTAGTAGTAGTAGTAGTGGTGGTGGTGGTAGTAGTAGTGGTAGTGGCAGTGGTAGTGGTAGTGGTAGTGGTAGGAGTAGTAGTAGTAGTAGTAGTAGTAGTAGACTACTACTACTACTACTACTACGACGACTACGACTACTACGACTACTACTACTACTACTACGACGACGACGACTACGACTACTGCTGCTGCTAGATTGAAGAACCCGGATTGACATGGGCCATTCTTTGGAACAGCTTGCTAGCACTTGAAACTGACACATTTACCACCAGCTTTGCCCCGGAAGATCTAAGTGACCCTGGGATGCACGAAGCAGGTTTAGGGTCTAGGGTTTAGGGTTCAGGGTTTAGGGTTTAAGGTTTAGGGGTATGAATTTCGGGATCAAGACCACAAAAGCCTAAACTTTCCATTCACACATACCCTAGCCAGAAGTCGCAGCCTCAGGCAGATCATTTTCCGTCCGGCCAGCCGTCTTTGAGTGATGCTGCTAACGAAGATGAAGATGATGAGCGTTGCAGGTGATGCAGCGATGGCTAGGACTATGATGCTCACGGAGAGGATTGATGCTTACTACGGTGCTGCTTTCCCTCTTGTTCTGCTGCAAAAGCGTTGAACTACGAGAGTCACGGAGAGGATTGATGATGAATACGGTGCTCCTCCTCTCCTTCGTCCAGCGATCGCTGCGCCACCAATGGCTCCAGCGCTACAGCACCGGGTGTCCTCCGGACAACCCTTGCGGCATCCGACCCAAGCTTTCGTCGCAAGATGGATCAGTATAAAATGCTGCAGTGCAGGATGTGGGCCTGCTGAGAGGATTAGAAACTGAAGGCAAAGTTTCGAGCAATTTCAAGACGACCGGAATGCCCTGAGATCGCCAGCTACTAACTGAAAGCACCTACTTTAGCCACTCTTCGACGGCTTTACCATCGCGAGATGACACAATGACTCTTGCCTATAGTCTCCATTATAGTTCCTTTTTGGGGTTACCTTTTGGGATCCTTACTATAGAATTGGTTGAACCAAAAAAAGGGACTGCAATGGAGACTATAGGAAGCCCCAAACCCCAAAGAAATGAACTGAGGGTCTCCCTAAACCCTGGTTTAGGGTTTAGGGGTTAGGGTTGGTTTAGGGTTTAGGGTTGGTTTAGGGTTTAGGGTTTTAGGTTGGTTTGGGGTTTAAGGTTTAGGGATTAGGGTTGGTTCAGGGCTTAGGGTTTAGGGGTAAGGGGTGGTTTAGGGGTTTTGAGGTGTGGGGCCTTGAGGCTGGTCGGAAGAACGGGCTCAGTGGCTTTCACGATCACTCCTCACCGGCTCAGCTTTTCTGGGACTCGGGGCACCGGGGTGTGGGAGGTTTAGGGTTGAGGGACCTGCAAGATGTGCTACTTCCTGCGATGTATACTGCCTGAAGCATCAGTTTCAGAACCTCTAGCAGCCCGCGTCCTTTCCAGGGGACAAAGGCCCAATCATGAGCCTTGCCCATATCTCACCAAGGCTGCATCTTGTCCTTGCGGATGACAACATCGGCCTAAACCCTAAACCCTAAACAAAAACTTCAACAAGCTCGCCTCAACCTCTGCGGTCCTCTAGGGACAAGAGGGACGGCGGGCCAGTGGAGATTCGCGTCTGAGAAGGAACAGGCAGATGAGAATCTATGGGTTTAGGGTTTGAGGGCGAGGGCTGTGTACACCCTAAACCCTAAACCCTAAACAAACGCTTTAGGGTTCAGGGTTTAGGGGTTTTGGGTTTGAGGGTTTAGGGTTTTAGGGTTTTTACGTTTGTTCAGTTTGTTGCCTGTGCAACTCAGCACCAACCACGTCGGAAGCCGCTCAAGCCAGCTCAGCTGCCGCAAGACAGGCCCTGGGGCTCCAGTTACCTAAATAGTATAGGGGTTTAGGGCCTTTAGGGTTTAGGGGAGTAGGTTACTGGGGTACAAAATATATGGTTTGTAACCCATTATTTAGGTAATTGGGGCCCTAGGGAGGAGTCACTTCAGGAGTTCGACCAAGGAGCCTCCAAAATTGCTCCCCTCACGTGGCTAGTTCTCCTAATTAGGGTCCCTTTTCGGGTCCCTTTTTTGGTATGTGTGCCGTACTATATCTGGGACCCTAATTTAGAGAACTACCCATGTCGTCGATGGTCGAGAAGATGAGTAGGGCATTGAGAAGAGGTCGGACCCCGACGTTGGAGGGTTCGGCCAGGGGCCTAAGCTTGGGGTTTTATAGGGTCTTAACATTTGGGGGGGTTGGGTGTCCTGTAAAAGCTTGAAAGATTAGAGGGCGTCAGAAATCAATGCAGCTGCAATTGCTCGAAGCTCCCTCATTAAAGCTTGCCGGTGCGGGTTCGAGGTTTGTGCACAAGAGCGAGCGCACCCTAAACCCTAAACCCTAAGCTCTGGCTAAGGCCAAAAGTAGGGTTGGACCCTCGCTCTTCCAAACAACCTTGGCACAAAGCCCGAAACAGGGTTGAGGACATGGGTAGCTCTCTGAATTGGGGGAGTGCGGCACCCTTATTTAAAAAGGACCCTAAAAAGGGATCCTGGTTTAGAGAACTACCCATATGATATTGTATGGGGTTTAGGGCTCAGAGTACCTCAAGCTAACCCAAAATCAGACAAGCCTTCAGCACGACCTGCAATCAAATACATCAGGTAGGCTAGAACAGCTTTCAACGTGTACAGGGTCCTGCCCGTGTGCCCGGAAGTTGTTCTGAAAATCTTCTGTTCAAGAACAGAGTATGGCTGTTATAAGATCTGATGTGAGAGATTTCAGAGACCCTTGATAGAATGAAGTGGACACCTGTCCCATTCGATTAAGGCTGCAGGCGATCGGTGTGAAATTTCTGGCTTCGGAGAGTCGCTGAAACCCGAAACCGAGCCCTAAACCGCCGAAGCCCGAATCAAGGGTCTCTAACTCCCGCTGCTGCGTCGGCTAGGGGTAGTGCTTGCAGCTGGCAGATCAGAGCCACAACCAACCGATACCCTTGGGTTTGGGGTTTAGGGTTGCCAAAACACTCGACGCTTTTATGTACAGGTTTATACGACAGGGGGTCGATTTCGGAAGTCCTCAATATACTTTGCGGCTAAGGATCTACATTCCAGCTAGCAGGCACGTTCAGGGTAGCTGGCTTTGGGTCACTTCAAACTCTGGTTGGAAAGTCGTTATTCCTGAAAGGGCTCGCTGTAGTCCGACTCCAGGTTCAATGTTTACCAGTGGGCTTGTACTTGTACCTACACCCAAAATCTATGAAACACCATTGCTATTATACTTTTAATTATAGTAGGATCCCTAATATGACTTAAGGTATATTTCAAATCAGGTTTTTAACAAATCGGGAGTGTATTCACGAAGCGCCTCCAAACTGCTTCCTTCTCCCTTCCATATGTGCGGTGTCGGACAAGGTGTGCTCGCTTTGGCTTTCCGGAACACTGACAAAAACTCTCGTTTCCTTCGATTTTTCAATGGGGTTCTTCTCCAGCATGTGCATGCGAGTGATAGTGAGAGGAATAATGCCAGTGCAACTTCAAGCTCCAGTGCAAGAATCGAACGGAGAGAGAAAGAGAGAGAGAGAGAGAAAAAAAAAAAAAACATGTGTGTGTGTGTGTGTGTCTGAGGAATCGAGTGAGCGAGCCAGCGAGTATGTATGTATACGTGTATATGCTCACACATAGGCAAGCACTCACGTACACACACACACATGTGTATATATATATACACACAACAATATACATGTACGTATTCACAAGAGTACATACATATTCATCTATTCATCTACATACATATTCACATACGAGCATGCATGCATGCATGCAGCATGCACTAATCCCTACAAGACATACCATAGCATAGCACATATGGCAGCTGGTGGGTCTATTTCGAGGACTATGAAGGCAACGGACAGGCTGCTGATCACCCAGCAGCGTTGCAGACAAGACAAAATCAAATTGCAACGGTTGAAGGCGGAGCACGTTCCTCAGATGCCGTCCCTAGGTTACGGTTGCCACCCGTAGCCCAAGCCCCCCAACCCTGAAACCTCAAGTGAAACCATAAAGAGTCCACAAGTTTGACACAAAAAACAGAGGCTGGCAACCAGACTGCATCCCTGCCTTCTCTCGGCAACTCGAAAACTACCAAAGCCGCCGGATCAAAAAGGAAAATTCGAATGCCTCCTACACACTTTAGGGTGTAGGAACTTACCTGCACAACTGGAAGATGGCATAGCGGTCGCCGTCTAAAATATGGCAACTCGCTCTCCCGTGGAGCTCTGTCTGGGAGTTTCTCTCAGGTGGACTCCGTGTGGGAGACCCCCTGTCTGGAGAAACAGTATAGTGCTTCTAATGGCTCTTCTGGATGGTGAAGAGCTGCTTGACCTGCGCTTAGGGTTTAGGGGTTTAGGGGTTTGGGATGGTTTAGGGTTTTAGGGTTAAGGGGGGGGGGTTGGCATGTAGGCTTCAGGTGGTTCGGAGGCTTTTCGCGGTGATGGCCTGCTCCGTCCAGCGTGGTTTTGACTCTGACTCCAGCTCCTCGTCCGACGCGGTCTTGTCGAATCCTGTCTATTGGCTTTTGGCTTCAGGCCTGACCCCTAAACCCTAAACCTTAAACCCTAAATGAATTCTGGCTCTTCAGTTGCAGGATTCGGATTAGGGCTTAATCGGCTTAAGTCCCGAGGGCCTGGGAGCATTGAGTATGAGAGTGATGATGTGAGCTTGATGCAGATGAGTATGGTGCTATGGCCACTTCTACTGCGATGGTACTGCCATCGTTGATGTCGTACATGCTGGTTGGTGCTATTGCTCTGTCCCTTCTGTCCCTTCTCTTGCCTGTCTTTCCATTTTGAAAGTACAAGGTTTGGCAAGCTTTTCATCTTCGATTCGCCGCTGCAGAGCCGCATTAAGCTCCAACGTGGGTAATGCAGGGGCTATCGGCTAGGTTTAGGGCTTAACGCTGGATTCCATCTTATAAAATCCATGCCATGCAGCACCTCGAACCCAAAGACAACCACTGGCTTAGTCTCCCATATCCTACATCTTGTGTAGGGTCCTGAACACGGCTATTCACAAGTTACACGGACCCTACAAAGTTGGTTTACGTAATATCTTAAGCCCCTTCTATTGCATTTGTCACTGATGGTATCATGCCGCCACACCTGGCAATCCGAAGCCTCCCCAAACCCAACAATCTTCAATTTAGAGTTTATGCTTTAAGGTTTAGGAAGCTTCCCTAGGCTCCAGTAGTCCGGCTTTTGGGAGAATCCGTATGCGTACTTCAGGTTGGCGGTTGAATTTAGGGCTTAGAGGTGTTTTGAATTTAGAGTATACCGAAGAACAGCAGGGGCGGGACAGAATTTGAGCTTGACAGTCATGGGTCCTGCCCGACCCTAAACCCTACACACTTCATGCGTCCTGCCCGATGGCGGCGAGAGTCCACCAACCGCTCCAAACCCCGTGGGTTTCTGGCAACAGCCTGGAGTCGTAGGGGGGGGTGTAGTTTAGGGTTTTCGGGTTAAACCCCAGTGTAAGGATTTTATGAGAGGCCTAGGCGTCACACATCTTCGGGATTTCCAGCTCGGGGAGGGTGGCGCCGAACTGTCCAGAGCTTAGCGGTTTCGGGCTTAGCAGCCCTCACCTCTGAGGGTGGACAGAGGCGCACTATCCAGCACAGCCAATGATAAACACAACCAGGCTCAGATTGCAAGACTGGAATGACAATGACTGATGAACACTCTAGTCAAACCCAGGAATATAATACCAATAATAAGATGAATTCTAATACTACTGCTACTACTAATACCAATTCTAACACGACATGATGCTTCCTAAACCCTAAACCCCAAACCCTAAATCCTAAACCCCAAACCCTAAATCCAGGCTATGATTCTTTCCTCCCTCCCTGTGCTCTCCAGCATACCTAGGCTCCCCAGTAGCCTCTTAATAACAAGGATACCCTGTTTTCCTACTATGTGGCCGCTCCCTAAACCCTAAACCCCTAAACCCCCAAACCCCTAAACCCCTAAACCCCTAAACCAAAAACCCCAAACCCCCAAACCCCTAAACCCTACACCCCCAAACCCTAAACCCCTAAACCCTAAACCCTAAACCCCCAAACCCTAAACCCCTAAACCCTAAACACCCCAAAACCCTACACTCCTGGGGAACCAAAGTTACCATCTTCGCCTCTACGCCGCTTTACCTCGTCTTACCCTAGGGCTCCAGTTACCTAAGTGGTAGGTTACTGGGTTTAGGGTTTAGGGTTTAGGGTTAGGGTTTAGGGTTTAGGGTTTAGGGTTAGGGTTTAGGGTTTAGGGTTTAGGGACATAATATATGGTTAGTATAACCCACTAATTTCGGTAACTGGAGTCTTGGGGTTAGGCAGTTCAACTCCCGGCCTTGGCATGAAGGGTTCAGGGTTTAGGGTTTGAGGTCTGGGGTTTGGGGGTTTAGGGTTTGGGGGTTTAGGGTTTGGGGGTTTGGGGTTTAGGGTTTCGGGTTCAGGGGTTTAAGGGTTTCGGGTTTAGGGGTTTAGGGTTTGGGGTTTAGGATTTGGGGGCTTGGGGTTTAGGGTTTCGGGTTCAGGGTTTAGGGTTTCGGGGTTTGGGGTTTAGGGTTTCGGGTTCAGGATTTAGGGTTTCGGGTAGGGTTTCGGGTTTGGGGTCTAGGGTTTGGGGGTTTGGGGTTTAGGGTTTCGGGTTTGGGGTTTCGGGTTCAGGGGTTTAGGGGCTTGGGGTTTAGGGTTTAGGGTTTGGGGTTTGGGGTTTAGGGTTTAGGGTTTGGAACGGCTTGGAGTTTAGGGTAGACGCTAGGCTTGCAAGGTAGTTTGGCCCTCCTTGTCTGGACAGAGGGGCCTGGTTCAAGCCTGGGTTGTGCACATACTCTTGCAGCTCTGCAGGACCTCGTGGCATGCGCCCCGCACCACAAGTCCGAAACATGAGTCCCAGTGGTGGAGAGTTGAGACGGTAGGGCTTGAGGGTTTTAGGGTTTAGGGCTTTAGGGTTTTAGGGTTTAGGCTTTAGGGCTCCGACATGCTGCATTAACCACGAACCGCCACTCTGTGAAGGCTGTCAGCTTTAACTATCCTGAATGAGCATATTGGCTCGAATTGCTTGCGGTTCTCAGAGGAGGGAAACCCTAAAGACTAAACCCCCTCTTCATCATCGACCCTGCATTGTAACCCTTGCGGACACAAAAACCGCCAAACTGCAGGCTGGAGCCGTCGAAGGAACCCTGCAGGATACTCAGGTCCCCTGTGTAAGGGCTTCGGTCTAGGGTTTAGGGCTTAGGGCTTAGGGTTTAGGATTGAGGGTGCAGGGTGTTTCAGTGCTTGTCCCAAACTTGTGCCCTTGATTCGCATCTGCTCCATGAAGCCCTCGACCGTATAAACCCCCCAAGCATGCTGAGTTAGCCCGCACAGCTTAGACGAGCCCAGAATGAGCCCGTCTTTTGTCAAGCAGCCCAACACTAACAGCACAAAACACACACTCCCTAAACCCTAAACCCTGGTACTGCAACACTCCTCACACCTCGGCTTCCCGGCCCTTCTCAGGGACAATCCGGTTTAGTATTCAGGGGTTTTAGCTTAAGAGGGGGGTCAGCTTTTGTTTCGTCTTGGGGCCCTGAACCCAAAACCCCAGAAACCAAACCATGGTTGCATTGACCCGTAAACCCAGAACCCCCAAACCCAATCCCTGACCCCTAAGCCCCTAGCAACTGAGCCCTAAACCCCTAAACCTTTTGGCCCCAGACCTTTCCAAATCCCTTAATTCAGGAATCTGCGGTAAGTCTTAAGTCTATAGTAGGATCCCCAAAATGACATAAGGTATAGTATCTTGAAAGCTCTCGTGCCTTCATGAAGGATTCCAGTTGCACCCGATGCCGCGAGTGCAGCACTCGATTCGGTGCCAAGGAAGCGCCGTCTGGCAAGTCGTCCGGCAGCCTCCCAAGCACGAGATCTTGGGGTCAAGGGGTATAGGGGTTTAGGCGTATGGCGTTTCGGGTTTTGGGGTTTAGGGTCCATGGGTTTGAGGGTTGGTGTTTATTGTTTGGGGTTTAGCGGTTTAGGGTCTAGGAACTTGGGGGTTTGGCGTTTAGGGTTTGGGGTTTAGGGTCTAGGAGTTTGGGGTCTATGGGTTTAGGGGATTGGCGTTTAGGCTTTGAACCCCCCTTGAACAGAGCGCAAGGAGGGGGTCGCGGCAGGGTCGTGGCAATCATGCTCTTTGCGCCTTGAACGGCTGTCCCGAGAGGGATATGAAACAGATCATTGCGTCAATCATTTCAGGTGTTTACGCCTTGAACAGCGGTCCCGAAAGAGCTACGGAACAGATCATTCCGTCGGGCATTTCAAGTGTTTACGCCTTGAACAGCGGTTCCGAGAGAGCTATGAAACAGATCATTCCGTCGGGCGTTTCACGTGTATAGGAAATCAACAGCGATCCGCGAGCCTGTCTCATTCCGTCCGGTATTTCAAGTGCTTACGCCTTGAACAGCGGTCCCTTGTATAGGCCTTGAACAGCGGATCCGAGAGAGCTATGAAACAGATCATTCCGTCCGGCATTTCAAGTGTCTACGCCTTGAACAGCGGTCCCGAGAGAGCCATGAAAGGCTGTAAACCTGAAACGCTACTCCCCAAAGGCTTGTAAGTGCCGTCGTTACTGCGTTGGGAGTAGACCTGGTCCGAAAAATCGGGGAAGTTTGGGTGTTCTGGAGATACCCTAGAGACACCTTCGAGATACCCGAAATCTACATAGGAAAGTGAGGTCCAAAGACGAAGCTTTAGGTAGCTAGTGGAGTTTAAGGTTGGGTTTGGGCTGAGGGTTCCCTTTGATGTCCCAATCACTCAGCGGTTGGAACAAATCCAAAATGACTTCCAAGCACCACAACTTGGCATAAGAAGCAGCTCCTGAAGGGCCGGGTTCGGAAGCGTCTTAGAAAAGGCTCCAGGGAGGCATCCCAAGGCGCGCGTGGGGTCCCGTTCGCCTAGTAGTAGTCGTCGTCGTACTGCCATACAAACCCAGAACGCCTGGGGGGGTACATAAGTATATAGCACGTTATAGCATAACATGTGAAACACGAGTGTGTGCACGCAAACGCAACGACCCCCCAAAATGCTTCCCCCCAGTGTCTGCTGCCCGCAGAAAAAGGAAGCAACGACTTCTACAGTTGGGAGTAGGAGTTTGGCGCTTAGGGTTTGGGGATTACGGTCTAAGGGAGGGCATAGAGCTTAGAGCTACTATCGTCGCAGCAGTAAACATGGTGTCGTGACAGCTAATGAATGCTCAATGCTAATGATGACGAGCACGATGATGACGAATAGACGCCAACTGCTGCATTCGGTTTTACATGCGGGGAGAGCCCGTGAACGGTGGCAGCAACAACCAGAACCCGAAACCCTAAGCCCGAAACTGAAGAACCCTATACCCTAAATCCTAAATGGGACCGCAAGAGAGGATACACGCCCTTGGTACTCCATGTCCAGTATGTGGTGGTTGTGGAGGAAGGCCTTGAAGCTTATAAGGTGTCCATCAACCAAGCTTCGGTGCAAAGCACAGCAAGTGTGTACAAAATTGCGAAGAGGAGCGTCATAAGAGGGGACAACTCTTGCCGGCAGCTTGTCCTATTGCCATAGCCTGTGACCACCTGCACCCGCCTGACCTGGTAGGCCGAGTCCGGACGGGTGGGTTTAGGGTTTAGGGTTTAGGGCTCAGGGGATTTAGGGTTTAGGGAATTTAGGGTTTCGGGTTTAGAAGATTTAGGGCTTAGGGATAAGGGCTTACGGCTTCGGGTGGGTTTCCCCGAAAACCCTAAACCTTAAAACTCCAAAGCTCTAAACCCAAAAAATGCTAAAGTCCTAAACCCTAAGATCCCTGAGAGCCTCCAGGAAAAGAATGACGCCGTCTCGCTCTTCGCCTCGTTCTTCTCCCAGTCGCTCAGGATGGCGCGGACCCGGACGTCAGGCACGCCCTGCGGTTTCAGGATCCCTAAACCCTAAACCCTAATACCCTAAACCCTAAATCCTAATACCCTAATACCCTACGACCCTAAACCCTAATACCCTCTAAACCCTAAACCCTAAGCCCTAGGATCAGGGTTTAGGGTTTAGGGCTTAGGGTTTGGAGCGGTTTCAGGCTTAGGATTTGGAGCTGAGAGGGAGGAGGACTTTGTAGAGTAGGCTTTGGGAAGATCAGACGCCTGTAACTTACAGGGTTTCTTGCACTTCTTAGGGGCCGAGTACCCTAGCCCCAAAAAAAGGTTAACCTTTTGAACTATAATAGGATTATAGAAGCCCCAAAAGGTTAAAGGTTACCTACTCAGCCCCTAAGACAGGGTTTCTTCAACTTCTGTGTAGAAAGCTTTAGTGTAGTTAAGGTGAAGGTCTCGGAGGGGGTTGGGGGAGCGGGCACAGGGGGGGGGGGGCTCCAAGCACCTTTCGAGCCTCAACCTGCAACTCCAAAGTAGGGTTTAGGGTTTAGGGGTTTAGGGTTTATAGGGTTTAGGGTACCACCATAGGGATTTTCGAGGAGGGACCTGTTTGCTGTAGCATTGTAACAATGTAGCAACCCCACTCAACAGTGACAGGTGAAACATAAAGCAGAGTCGATTGCGCAGCACCTTGCAAGTCGGTAGCTTGCTGCATTGACTGTAATTGCACCTCGCTTTGACACTACTGGTTGATACTGGCTCGGTGGTTCATGCTGCGTTGCACTGTACTCCAGAAACTAAACTCGAAACCCTCGGCCCGAAGACTCTTACCAACGGCCTTACCAACGATTTCAATAAGGTTTTGGTATATGTGACTGTAAGGGGGGATCACCAGCTAGCGTGATCCCAATACTACGCAGCTGGCAGCTCGTAAGGTTCATTTTCGGTCTCCAAGCAGAAGTACCAAGCACAAGTACCACCACGCCGGAATCCAGACTTTACCTCAAGCAGCCCCGGTCGAGTTTGGGTAAAGTGTGCACAAGCACCTCTTCAGCGTTGAAATCTGGTGCTTCTGAAAGATTGCTCGCAAAGATTCTCGTCGATCTCAGTCAGTGGCTGGCTACACCCGACGCCCCCGCCCCCGTCATCCCATTTCGAATGCTTTTCGCTTTCGTGGCACCGGAGGAGTTAGTTGTTAAGATGGCATCAGACTCCTTCTGATCACCTAAACCGACTGCACGTGTTTCTCTCTCTATCTATCCATCTATCTATCTATCTCTCTCTCTCTCTCTCCCTCTTACCCTGTGCATATATATATATACATATGCATACATATCTATAAGCACACGATCGACACGTACGTATATGTATATATATATACATACATATACACATACTTCTTCACAAACATGATACAATGTATGTATGTATGTATGTATGTATGTATGTATCTGTCTAATTTATCTATCTATCTATCTGTCTATCTTTCTATCTGTGTGTCTGTCTATCTGTCTATCCGTCTATCCGTCTGTCTGTCTATCTGCCTATCTATCTATCTGTCTATCTGTATGTGTGTGTATGTATGTATGTACGTACGTGGTAGGTAGGTAGGTAGGTAGGTAGGTAGGTAGGTAGGTAGGTAGGTCGGTAGGTAGGTAGGCAGGCAGGCAGGCAGGCAGGCAGGCAGGCAGGCAGGCAGGTTAGGTAGGTATGAATGTATGCACAAATGTAAGTGCATGCGTATATGTATGTGCCACTCAGACTCATGTGGACATACAATGTGCACTTTTTGGTATGTCTCACAGGTATGCTACGATATGATATGCTCTGCTATGCTATGTTAAGTTATGCAAGTAAGAAGGTAAAGTATGAATGTATGTATGTATGTATGTATGTATGTATGTATGTATATTTTTTGTATTTATGTGTTGTATGCAATGCATGTAATGTGTGTCTGCCGATATGTCCGTTTGTATGTATGTATGCATGCATGCATGCATGCATGCATGCATGCATGCATGCATGTAAGCATGTAAGCATGTATGCATGTATGTATATATGTATTTATGTAGGTGTTTATGCATGTTTGTGTACGAGTACGGCGACATGCTTGCATCTATGCCAGAGGGATGTATGCATCAAGCAGGACAACGCCAAAAACCGACAGACAAATGCAAGCATAGTTGTAATCGCGCAAGACTTGGCCTGATCAAAGCTGCTGTCCATAGAAGGAGGTGGAGGGGGAAGGTCATCCACCTCACGGTTTGGGCTGCGGCTTGGGGTTCAGGGTGTAGGGCTTAGGGTTTAGGCGTAGGGCTGGGTGCTTTGGGCTCAGGGTGTAGGGTTCTGACGAAGGGTGTTGCCCATGGAAATCTCGCCAGGAGGCTTTATTGTGCTACTCTCGTTCACGGAGCGCGGCATTAGGGTTCCTTTAAGGGTCCTACAACGGTCCTATAAAAAGGATCCTATAACCGTTCCACGGAGGGCTCCCATTAGGGATGCCAAAACGAGTAAGTCTATAAGAGGTCGTAGTTGCTTTGATTGAAAACCCCTGATTGCCGAACTTCTCTCCCCTACTTCAGGACACCATAGGGATCCTTGTATATATGAGGGCCTTGAAAGAAACAGGGTTTGTTAAGGGTTTAGGGTTTAGGGTTGGGTCTACGTCAATTCGGAAATGGGCCTCAGTGTTTGATTGACCTTAGGGTATTTTGAGGTTCAAGGTTGACAATTCAGTCTAGTTGAAGCGCAGGGGCATGGTGTAGCAGCCTGACAATTCTGGACTTCATATCACTGAAACCCTAAACGTCCTAAACACTAACTCTTCCCCAAACGTCCTAAACAATAACTCTTCCCCAAACGTTCTAAACAATAACTCTTCCCTAACCGACCTAAACACTAGCTCTTTCCCAAACGTCCTCAACAGTAACTCTTCCCTAACCGACCTAAACACTGCCTCATCGAGTTTCCCCGCATAAGGCTTGAACACCTAAACCACCGAGTCCTAACCCTCCTAGGCTCCCACAAGAATAGTCCTAAAGCCCCAAACCCGAAACCCATAAACCTTGTAGGGTGTAGAGTTTAGGGTTTAGGGTTCAGGGTTTTTTGGGTCTTGTTCCTAAACTCTAAATCTTGAAACCTACATCCTGACACCCTCAAACACACAAAATGTCAAAACCCAACCCCCCTCAGACCCTCAACCCCGAACCCTGAAGCTTAATAGCCTAGACCTCGAGACCCCGAAGCTCAGTACCCTAAAGTCCGAACTCTAACCCACCCACGCCCTCCCCTAAACAAAATAATGAAACCCTGAACTTTCTGAACCCTGAAACCCTCGGCTTCTGTTGAAAATTTCAGAGACTTAAGGGACGGCAATATGCCCTAATTATCAGGGATCCCTGTTCGAAGCCCCCTTAGCTTGAAAGAACTTAAAAACACGATGAACAAGAACCTAAGCCACTAAACTCGAAATGCCGAAACCACTGAACGCAAACACCGGATGAATCCCAGGACTCGTCACCCCCTCCTTAGTAGGCAAAACGACGCTCAGCTGAACGCCATGTTCCTATACATCTACCAGAGTTGGAGATTTAGGATTTGGGACTTGAGGGCACCATTGCACCATTGCATGAGAGTGCAGGGTTGAGGTTTCAGAGTTTACGGCTTAGCGTTGAGGGTTTTGGGCTTTAGGGGAAAAATTTGGGGTGGACCATGGGTACTATAGTTCACATATGGCCCTAAACCCTAAATCCTAAAACCCCTAAATCCCTCAATTGAAGGAACATTAACAGACTATACAAAGAAACGAACTAGCCCTCATAGGCTTGCTGTAAGCCTAAACCCTAAACCCTAAATTCTAAACGCAAAACCCTACACCCAAAACCCTAAACCTTACACCCTAAACCCAAACTCCTAAGCCCTAAACGTAAACCCTAAAACCGATGGTTTGCGGTTGAGGGTTTAGGAGTTTAGCCCTACTCCGAACCCCGAAACCCCGAGCCCGTTCTCGGGGTTCAGGGGTTTAGGGTTTAGGGGGTTTAGGGTTTAGGTTCCAGTAAGAGTCTATCATAGGGCTACTATTAAGGGCCTATCTATCCATACTATGAATGTTTCTCAACTGTTACTGAGTTGGGGGGCAATATCCAAGGTTTAGGGTTTACCTATAGTCTCCATTGTACTTCCTTCTTGGGGCTACCGTATAGAACCCTAACTATAAAATGGGCTGAACCAAAAAAAGACCTACAATGCAGACTACCCAAATAAAGCCCTTATTGCACCCTTCTAGAAACCCTATGGGCCCTTAAAGGACTCTAGTTTAGGGTTTAGGGTTTGGGGTAGGGGGCTGTATGGCCACTACAATGGAGACCACAGGTCGGGTTGCGAACCGAGGGGCTTGACCTGGCTACCAGCTTTCAGACAGAGGTCACAAAGGTCCGCAGGATGACCATACAAACCCTAAACCCCTAGACCCCTAAGCCCTCAAACCCTAAACCCCTGAACCCCTAAACCCTAAACCGCCAAACCCCTGAACTCCTGAACCCCTACACCCCTATGCCAATACCTCAAGCCTGATCCTTAGACCCTCAGCCTAAACCCCTTCAGCACCTGCTTCCGAAACACAACTGGCTCCTACTTGGGCCCTTATCCTCAGCCCTCACCCCACGGTTAGGGTTTAGGGTCTAGGGTTTGGGGGTTTAGGGTTTGGGGGTGTAGGGTTTAGGGGTTTAGGGGTTTAGGGTTTAGGGTTTAGGGTTAACCCTACTTCCCCACTCCCAGCCTCACTCGCCAGAGGATGCGGTTTGTGAGGACAAGGCAGCTCGGCCAACTGCCAAGGCAAGCGGAAGCCCTCGGTGATGCATAAGGCTCAGGCGGTGTCAAAGAAAAAAGGGCCTTAGTGATTACCTCGTATTCTCTTTGAAAAGAAACAGGGACCTCACTAAGTACCTAGTCTTTTTTGGGGGTATGAGTATAGTATAGCTAAGCTGAGGAACCTGTGCTGGGCCGCTAAAGTCCACGAACCATCAAGGAAACACGGCATGTATCGCATACCTTAACCCTTTGAATCCCCGAGGCCTACTCTCTGCAAGTCTAGACACCAAACAATTCCACGAAGCCTGAAGATAAGGTGAACTCGAATCCGGAACTGGTACTGAACCCTCAAGCCTTTTCGTTTTAACAGAATATAGAGATTAAGCAGGCAGGGGTCAGGTTTAACAGCAGATTCCAAGTACGGCGCCATGGCTTTCGTCGCAAGCACGGCACTATGCAGACTGCCGGTAGAACCTGTGAGCCGAAACTGACAGCTGCGGGCCGAAGCTGTAGTGCATGTGTCTGCGTAGAGAGATTAAGTTGTCGAACCCTAGGGCTCCCGTTACCTAAATAGTGGGTTATAATAACCGAATATTATGTACCCCAGTAACCTACTTTTTGGGTAACTGGAGCCCCAGGGGAACACAATCCCAACCGTGCACCCCGACGCATTCACCGGTTCACATGCTGATTCCCAACCCACGCCGACACCGGCTTCTCGTCAACCCAACCAAGCTTCTCGAACCTAATGTAGGGGACGTAATGATTAGAACAGGGTTTTGGTGTCAATAATAAGGAACCCCAAAATAGAATAGGTGATGATTAAGGCCCCTATGTTATGTCAGTCCAGCAAGCGTGTACAAACAAGGAGAAACAGTTAGATGTCTCTATTGGTGCCAACCTCATGTTGCGTCCTGGGCTACTCTCGTCCAAACTGCACTCAAAGATATTGTCATGACAAATACTGCATGCACGGGAACCGATAGAACCGATAATTTCCGCTTAAGTCAAAGTTGTAAGTCTGCATGCGCATATGCACCCAAGCAGCATTTCAAGTCCCCACACGATGTGCATGTGTGTATATGTCTATGTCTAGGTATATTCAATTATGGATGTCTGTGGCTGCATGTAGAAACCTTTTGCAATAAACCACATGTGAACATTATGCGCACACATGTCTAGTTGCATTTCTGGTGAGTCTGAGTGCAGGTGTGGGGAGTGAGTCTGTCTTCGCTAACTCCGGAACAGCTGCTAGGCATTGCAACAGTCCGGACGGATACTGTTGTTCAGGCATGAACGAGCTAGCTTACTTCTGTCGTAAACTTAGCTCGTACAGAATGCACCAAGGACGAGGGGCCATCTGAGGCCGCACAAAGATACCATGTTCCGGGGGGCAGCGGAAGTACCTGCAGAGCAAACAGCTGCATCTTGTCTTCTTCAAGAAAGTTTCAGGTGTTCTGCCTTGGGCAGGCAGGAGTACTTGGAGAGCCTTCATTGCGGCCCCCGTTTCCTTGGATTGGGGATTTAAAGCCTCTGGATTTAAGGCTTTGGGCGACTCCGGGTCTCCTATTTTGGTAGACGGCAAGACTCTCCTACCCCTTGGCTTATCAGGGCTGCTAGTAGGTAGGTAGGTCAGACGATAATGTCAGATAGGTAAAAGGTAAAGTTACAGCCAGAGGCAAATGTGAATGGAAAGGCAAAGGCAGGGGTAAAGGTTTGGTTAAATAGGTTCGGTAGGTCGGTCAGTGGGCTTGTAGGTACATAATTAGGTAAATTGGTATGCATGCTTGTGTAACTGTGCATTTAATCACGTAGCGGTGCATGTTCGCACCTGCATTGCTACACTTACTTGCCTACTTGCCTACATACATATCATACCAGCCTACGCACGAACGCACGCATGTGCTGCACAATTACATACATCCATGCAGCCATACCGACATCCGTCTCATGCACTGGATAATTGTTGCACGCGCCCACTGGAGAGTCCAAGACCTGTTGACCAGCCTTGAACGACCGTGAAACTTTGCGAGCAGCTAAAGCTGTGTGCTTCGCAAGAGCGCCTCCCACAAGACAGTGCAGGCGAACTCAACTCAGACATTTTCCCTGCTGAGGCTGGCTGGCCCGAGGCTGTATTACTAAGTTCACAGAGTGAGGCCTTCAGCCCAGGATAAAGAAATGGTTCTTACTAGCACTTCTGTTGTAGAACGTTTTTATCACCACCTGTAGATCCGAAAACCGATAGTTTTAAGGGTCAGACGCAATTGCGGGGTCATAACCTGCTGCTTCGTGGGGTTTGGGGCTGCAGGTGCTACGTGAAGCTCAGAAAAAGAGCTTCTTGGTAACCAGCGCCAAGGCAAAAAGGTAGGCCAGGACGACCTGGGCAACTCTAAACTATAAACCCTGAACAAGGCTGTTCAATAGAAGGGCCGAAAGGTTTAGGGTTCAGGGATTTTAGGGCTTAGGGACCTAGGGAGCAGAAGGGCCGAAATGGCTTCAACAGGAGGTTTAGGGTTCAGGAGTTGAAGTTGAAGGGTTTAGGGTTTGGGCTGAGAGCTTAAATGGCTTCAAACTGGATTTGGGGGATACTCTGATACTTCATCTTCATCCTAAATCCCTTACCTGAAGGCTGAGTCCCCAGCCGTAACCACCAAACTCGCAAGCCTAGACGGATTAGTGCTGAAACTCGCTTGCAGGTCCGAAACGCGAGCACTCTTTCAACCACTGACGAAATCCTAAGCCCACCCACCCCTCTCCAAGAAAAGGTGCTATACCCTGGACTCTAAACAACAGCACCCCAAACGCCCAAAACTCTAAACCCCTAAAACCCCCTAAAGCCCCTAAACCCCCAAACGCCCCAAACCCNNAAACCCCTAAACCGTAAACCCCAAACGCGTAAGCCCCAGCTCAGCCTTAGGGTTTCGAAACCCGCAGGCTGCCATACATTTTAAAAGAAGACCTTTTAGTCGGTTTAGGGTTTGGGGTTT